ATATTATAATATATATGTATATACATCGTTATGCTCTTTAAAAAGAAAACATTCCCTTGAACTTATTGCTACCTACACAGATTCTCCAGGACATTCTGGATGCTCACATTGAGCTGAACAGCGCTTTGGAGCTGTCGCCCATGCATTCGGTGGTGAACAATCATCGGTATGCGCATCGGCTGCGTAATTTGATCAGCACACCCATGCAGAGGTACAGTGTTACCTCGATAATACGCCAGAATCCAGAGTACGCCATCAAGCAGGTGGCCAACATTCACAATTTGCTCTGCGACATTTGCCACACGATCGAGGAGTACTTCACCTATCCGCTGCTGGGCATCATTGCCATATCTTTCCTCTTCATACTCTTCGACGACTTCTATATACTGGAGGCCCTGTTAAATCCGAAACGCTTGGATTATTTTGAAGCCGACGAGTTCTTTGCCTTCTTCCTAACTCAAATGATCTGGTACATTGTGATCATATTTCTGATCGTCGAGGCCAGCAGTAGCACCATCAGGCACAGCAGCTGCAGCGCCGCCATTGTGCACAAGATTCTCAATATAACCGACGAGCCGGAGCTGAGGGATCGGCTGTTTCGTCTCTCGCTGCAGCTCTCCCATCGCAAGGTCAAATTCACCGCCGCTGGATTGTTTCGCTTGGATCGCACGCTTATTTTCACGGTTCGTCTCCATATAAATACGAATATTTCTTTGAAGTTATTTATTAATGGCTCTCATCGCAGATAACTGGCGCCGCTACATGCTACCTCATTATACTAATACAATTTCGCTCCACTCATCACGTTGAAGACTTTGGAAGTACAAATAATACGGACTATATGTAACTGAACTAAGCTTAACAGCGTCTTTTAAAAATCTTTGTAATATACACATTATTAAAGCTATTTGTTATCAAAAGTATTTAGTCCAGACATTAATTGGATTGGATTATATATGGAAATGTTCTTCCAGGTGAACATAACTGGCTTACTTTATAGAATCGATCGTTTGTTATTTTAACTTGTTTCGGCCCTTTTACCATCGGTGATAATTTTTTTATGTTTTCTGTGTACCTTACAAACGTCTTCGCAGAGCTCCAGTGTTGGGAAGATATTGGAATTTCCAAGGCAACCATTATAAGGAAACATTTCGCACTCATTCGTATCCAAATGGTATGACCACATATTACGAAGTAGGTTGCACGTTCCTCTTACACCGGGCGGAAGCCGGCAAATAGCTAAATAAAAATTAAAATGAGGCTCGAATTCAATAAACAACAATTTATTTAAATTCTATTTCTTACCGTGCTGCCTGTGACTCAGAACAATTGTAAGTTGGCCGCAAGCCAAATAAAATACAAAAGCTAATTTCATTTTGGGCCTTTCGAGATTTACTCAGATATTCTTTAGTTGAAGGCTAATTTACTCTCAGAGCTGCAGGCACAATTCAACTGAAATGAAATAATATACAATTGAATGAACATTTTAAAAATTATAAATTTCAGCCGTAACTAATAAGCGAATCATGAGAATTATTATTATATTAAAGTGCTTAACAAGACATTAAAACTTTAAACCTCATGCTGTTCATTCTATTATATACATATATTTGCAGGCAGATTTTTAATGTAACTTGTAGTATATGAATTAAAAAAAATTAAATTAAATTAAATTATAATATTTCATTAATTTATTTAAATTTTTTGCATATATGTATTTTCCGTGTTTTTCAATTCAACACGCTTAAAACATAACGAGCTCTCGTTCAAGGCGTTGCCAGCACATATAAAAGCTTTGCTCAAACAGCAACAAGCAGTGCAAATCAAGCAGTGAACCATACACATCATTAAACAACGCAGCAACCTTTTCAAAACACGAACTGCAACCGTTAAAAGAGCAAAAGAGACGCGCAGTATTGTCCTAATTTCAGCGGCTTGTCGTTCACAGTTCGCTGAAAAGGCGAGTGTGAACTAATTGCCACAGCCTAGCATAATCGCAGACGGACAGCGCTCGGCTTAGGCGCCATCCGTCACTAATCAGTGGTACCAGTAATCCGCATAGACACGACATTTGGTCACCGCGCACTAGCCGCATAATCCAATAAGCGAACTCAACTAGTGTAACGACATTTGATTGTTTTATTGCCTCAGTAGGTGACAATTTTATGTTAAGTCTATTGAATGGCTTTGCTCAATTGTCAAGAAATATTTGCGTTTGCCCAAACCAACGGACTAGTTACATTCGAAACGTAATAAATACATACACATACATGCATGCATACTTGTATGTAAATGCGAATACATGCATATTTATATATATATATTTCTAATCAGAATGATTAGCCGCATTGATAAGACCTGAACAATTTGTTATCAGTACCATTCGATTTTAATGATTTGTTTACTTTTCCACATACATATGTACAGCCGTCAAAAATGAAATGCCCTCAACACATATAGCAGCTGGATTTTGTATACGAGGAGAGTCAAATATATACATATACGCTTGTGAAGTGAATGCGTTTGGGGCGTTCGCTTGATAACGCCTTCTACAATTGCTCCAGATTGCCCAGCAAAAATGATTGTGATTTTTAATGTACTTAAAAATGCATGTATATCAAAATAAATATAGAATTAGGCCACAGCCAAGCTGCGCTCATCTAAAGAATAATTTGCAATTTTCTTGCATATTTCAAAATACGGCGGATGAAAATAAATAAATAATTATCCACAGTCTAAAGTGCACTGCTTTGCTATGCCTGACTCACAGAGACTCAAGCTTCAAACTACAGTTTGAGTGGCACTCATACGATTGCTCATACATTGCAGTTTCAGAGCCACTGACTTGATATTTAATGCATTTCAATTCAAATTTCAATGACAATCATATAGAAATAAGTGAAGCGCAAATTAACGCTAGAGCACAAGCACACCCACACACTCGCACACACACACCGCCACAATTATGTATGTATGCATAGCGGCAAATATTCATCCGCAGCAACAGCGGCGGCAGCAGCCGCCCGTCCCCAGCTACTTATAGTAAGAACAGAAACGCCGTAGCCAAAGTCGAGGCAGCGCCAACGCCAGCCCCGTTAGTTGCCCGTCCGCTAGAGAGGGCCGCGCACAGTCGTAATCGAGCATTGGCGAGTAACGGTACACAAGCGCAATTTATTTAGCACTCGCGCTCGCATTCGCTTTTCACAGTCCGATTTGATTCGTTCGGCTTTTGTCGCGTGTCGCAAGCGCTGCTCGCGCATCCTCAGAGCCTTAGAGCGTGTGGACAAGCTGCAAAAGTGAGTTACCGTAAAGCAAACAGAAATCAAAAGATTTCGAACAAAAGTAACAGCTGATTTCCATAGGTAAATGGAAAATCATAATAAGTCAAGAATAAGTATTGAAAAGAAAAAAATGCTTATTGTTTAATCGCACACAGACTTTTCAAGATTACAAACAATGGACAATGGCCACGCTTATAGGTACACGCACACACACACACACACACACACACACACAAGTACTAAGTACTTGAGCTGTTAATCTAGTTGCCGATAGGCCCAGACAAACAATGGCAAATCCAAGAGTAAAAGTACAAACTTTAACTTTACTTTAGGCAAATGTTGGTTCTGATTCAGCTCGACTGTTAAAGAAATTAACAACTATTTGTAACTTGTCTATGATTCAGCTAATTAAACGCCAATTAAATGAACATTGTCAACACACTTGAGCGCTTTGCTAATCGCTGTTCGTCACACGAGCCAAAAGAAAACGGAAATGTAATAGAGTAAATAAATATTTAGAGAGCGCTCGGAGCAGTCGGAGCTGTTGCGTTTAATGAACATTTAGTGACTGCTAAAAATACGAACAAATTCAATTGTATAGGTCAGGAAGCAATGCACGCTGACATCTCTGAAGAGGCGAGAGAAGGCGGCATTTGTATCTATATCTCACTCTAGTGGGAAGCAAGTGCAAAGATATAGTAAATATCTATTTGTCTACATACTTATGTGGTTCTTGCAATCATAGCAATAAATTGCAAATTGCGTTGTTGCCACAAAAAAGTCAAGTCTATGCCACAATGCCATGTTTGCGGTCAGCTCTGTATTCGAATCTCAGTCGGGCTGTCGATAATATTAATATCTGAATAGGAATCATTTTAGACTGGGCTGCACTTATAACACTTCTCACTGTCTGATTATACAAATAGAAATATATATATATATATACTCGCATATCTGAGCATATCTGGTTTCCATTTGTTTATAAAATATTCACGTGTATTTGTGGCTAGAAGTTCTCAGCTCTCACATTAATTTTATTTTGTTCAATGGAAATGTAAATAATTTTCACTGACGTAGCTCAATTAAATAATTAACTAGCGTGATTAACTCTCTTGCTTTAATTACAAACTAAAGGTCTATATGTGTATACTATATACAAAACATTGCAATTGCTTAGCTATGCTTATTATAATTTTATTTACTAATCAAAATTCTAAACGATTCAAGCTTGAAACAAAAATATTTATAGTTAGCAGATGTAATCCCTTGGGRAACAAAAAAAAAAAAAAATTAAAACCCTATTTTGACTGGAACTAATACTGCTCTTTCTTAAAGAATTTTATGATTTATGATCCCTTAAATATTTTAAGTTATATCCCCAATTCACTTTTTGATTAATTTATATACTATAAATATTAATCAAGCAGCAGTTGATTTAAAACTGCGCCAAGTTTGTTATTTTAAACGCTGTTGATCAACAGAGCAATTAAATAAATAATTCATTCATTTCCAGTACACATGTAACTGTTAAAAATACACAACAAAGTAATGCCAGTAGATCTGTAGATATCAGCGCTGGGCAGCTTGGGACTTGCACGTGAAATTAGTTTCATTTCATTTAACATGTTCATACTTTTCATATACTGAGAGGGGGAAGAGACGGGGAGAGACGGGGAGAGAGAGAGAGAGAGAGAGCACTGAGCAAAGCAAATAAATTATAGAAATTATAGAATAATATCCGCTCCATTTGTAGCAATTTCACTAAATGCACTAGCGAGATCCTTGTCTATAGTCCATAGTTTTATATATTGAATACGATTGCTGCAGTTCCCTTGCATGCAAAGATCACAAATGTTAACTCGAGCTCTACTTTTTTTCGAGAACAATTTGTTGGCATTTACAACTCATTTCTTTCACACCCGAATCACATTGTCGTTTAACGATTTGGATTTATTATTAAAGTGGAATATCACATGCTTAATTTAATAATGAAAAAAAATGCTTGATGCTTGCCGCAGAGCGCGAATCGCCACTCAGTAAAAGAAGAAGAAGAGACAGAAAAAGAAAAAACGAACCTAATTGAAAGCAATTATTCCATGCAAAGGCTTCGACTCTTTTCATAAAATTTAGTCAACATCTGGCCCCATATATAGAGATATATATGGGTACCATGGCATGCATGTCATTTTATGTTTTGAGCGTTGATCTTGATTTCAATTAAGTTAAATTCACATTAAAAGTACACGTTAAATGCTCTCTCCAAAATGTAGAGATTGTATACAATATATACTACTCTACTAAATTTATTATATTAAAAAATATATTCGCACACTTAAAAAGCATTCATATTATTCCTGATAAATATAACTAAGTAATTGTCAATCAAAATGAACAATTTGCAACACGTCGAAGATCAGATACTCTATTTTAGGCAGTCTACTGTAAAAATCATTTTAGAAGTTTGTATTTGTATTTCTTTTGAAATCAATTATAATATTATGAAGACTAGATGCAACGGATCTACTTCTCAATTTGATAGTTTATAAAAAATAAATAAAATAATAATTTTTTATATTTTTTTGAACAAATTTATGAGAATTCCTCCCGAATAAACTTTCTCTTATAGACATATGTTCGTATATAGGCATTGATATAGCTCAATCTGCTCTGGTAGCAAAGCTCATGTCAGCTATACAATACCCATTAGAATAGAGTAAAAGTTTATACGAATTGCCGGCAAGTAGTTGTCTTTTTTTTTTTTGTTTTTTTTTTTTTTTTTCTTTTTTTCATAACAATATGAATGCATTCATCAACGCGTTGCTGCTCTCTTTATGTAGATATGCGAGTTTTTCTTTTATATACAGTCGTTGGGTACGGCAGAACGGTAAGTGTCAAAGACCCAACCATAGCTCACATCGGGGTCAATTGATAGACTCANCAATTAAATAAATAATTCATTCATTTCCAGTACACATGTAACTGTTAAAAATACACAACAAAGTAATGCCAGTAGATCTGTAGATATCAGCGCTGGGCAGCTTGGGACTTGCACGTGAAATTAGTTTCATTTCATTTAACATGTTCATACTTTTCATATACTGAGAGGGGGAAGAGACGGGGAGAGACGGGGAGAGAGAGAGAGAGAGAGAGCACTGAGCAAAGCAAATAAATTATAGAAATTATAGAATAATATCCGCTCCATTTGTAGCAATTTCACTAAATGCACTAGCGAGATCCTTGTCTATAGTCCATAGTTTTATATATTGAATACGATTGCTGCAGTTCCCTTGCATGCAAAGATCACAAATGTTAACTCGAGCTCTACTTTTTTTCGAGAACAATTTGTTGGCATTTACAACTCATTTCTTTCACACCCGAATCACATTGTCGTTTAACGATTTGGATTTATTATTAAAGTGGAATATCACATGCTTAATTTAATAATGAAAAAAAATGCTTGATGCTTGCCGCAGAGCGCGAATCGCCACTCAGTAAAAGAAGAAGAAGAGACAGAAAAAGAAAAAACGAACCTAATTGAAAGCAATTATTCCATGCAAAGGCTTCGACTCTTTTCATAAAATTTAGTCAACATCTGGCCCCATATATAGAGATATATATGGGTACCATGGCATGCATGTCATTTTATGTTTTGAGCGTTGATCTTGATTTCAATTAAGTTAAATTCACATTAAAAGTACACGTTAAATGCTCTCTCCAAAATGTAGAGATTGTATACAATATATACTACTCTACTAAATTTATTATATTAAAAAATATATTCGCACACTTAAAAAGCATTCATATTATTCCTGATAAATATAACTAAGTAATTGTCAATCAAAATGAACAATTTGCAACACGTCGAAGATCAGATACTCTATTTTAGGCAGTCTACTGTAAAAATCATTTTAGAAGTTTGTATTTGTATTTCTTTTGAAATCAATTATAATATTATGAAGACTAGATGCAACGGATCTACTTCTCAATTTGATAGTTTATAAAAAATAAATAAAATAATAATTTTTTATATTTTTTTGAACAAATTTATGAGAATTCCTCCCGAATAAACTTTCTCTTATAGACATATGTTCGTATATAGGCATTGATATAGCTCAATCTGCTCTGGTAGCAAAGCTCATGTCAGCTATACAATACCCATTAGAATAGAGTAAAAGTTTATACGAATTGCCGGCAAGTAGTTGTCTTTTTTTTTTTTGTTTTTTTTTTTTTTTTTCTTTTTTTCATAACAATATGAATGCATTCATCAACGCGTTGCTGCTCTCTTTATGTAGATATGCGAGTTTTTCTTTTATATACAGTCGTTGGGTACGGCAGAACGGTAAGTGTCAAAGACCCAACCATAGCTCACATCGGGGTCAATTGATAGACTCAATTATGGCAAAATATCACAGAGCCGAGCGACCATTCAAACACATGCATAGAGCCACGCCATATATGTATATATTAGTATATATTTATATACATATATAGAAATATATCTGAACAAATTGAACGTGACACGTTACGTGTGAATTTGGAAGGAAATATGGCTTGTGGACCTGTGACCCAGCGATAAGATTGCAGTGTGAAATGTAATTTCGTTTGCATTTCCGGGATTTGCACGCCGGCTGTCTTCAGTTACCGCCGCTGCTTATCGGGTTCAAAGTACGCTTATCAATGACAGCCGCCCAATTGATTCACGCCGTTTGATGACGCTGTGGTCCGCATATCAATTGCTTTCTATTCAAACAAACCCACACGTATATCGTTTGTGGTAGCTGTAAACAGCAACGGCAATTGTAATTCAAAAAGTTTACAGATACATTAAGTATACGTACATACATTACGCATACGTATCAAGTCACATCGATTATAAAAATATGAAAAAAGATTATATATATACATATATGTATATTTCTATATATGCCGGCTTGCATGTGTAGTCTTCGCAATTATCAACACTGATATGACAGCTACACACACCATCGCAATAATTATGAATACAAATGCCCGATTATTTACTTTGGCTGGGTGTAAACAAGTTACTCACGTGTTGTCATTATTATTGCACAGCTATTAGCAAAATCCACTCAATTGTTGGACACACAGTCAGCTCACTCGCCCGCCTACTTAAAATATTTATTTACTTACTGATATGCAATTTTCGTGTTATAATGTATTTTATTTAAAACAGGTAAGGCCAGTAATAAGTGTGAACAACTTTGGCCAAGTTTAGTTGCAGGAATAAAATCTATTGTATTTTAATTAAATTATTTGTAGAATCTTTAATTAATGATGGTGATCAGCTTTAGCTAGATTTAGTTTCAGAAATAAAATATATTATAGTTAAATTAAATATTTTTTTTTATGATTTTATAATCATATATGGACGTTAGTTAAATGCAGCTTCGTCTTTCTATCGTGAAAGTTTAAGCAAATTAACTAATTAAAATAGATTTCGTACTATACTATTTTACATACGTATTTTTTTTTTAATGTAAAATATTAGTTTTTTATATTTGTTTACTATCGGCCAACATTTATGACAACTTAATCTAAACACAAATTAATTATTTACATTTTCTAAGATTCCCCATTCTAATAATGCCCGTTGAATCATTCCCTAAAGTATGCAATATATTAGTCATATAATTTGATTGTAAAACTCATGTTTTAACAAATACAAATTAAAAGCAAACTAAATATATTTAATCAAATAATCTAATTGTGTTGTTAAGGTACTATAATTGGATTTTACACATTCAGCGCATAAAATAAATATACACAAAAAAAAATTAATCAGAGTTGTAAGTGTTTTAAATTTAAATTCAAGAGTTTTTTGTCAAAAACTTTTAAATATAAACTTGTGAAGAAAATTCGAAACTTTTCATTTACAGTCAGCAAACTAAATCAGTGCTTCATAACCATTTTTAACACTTAAAGGAAACATTTAAAATTTCTCTTATCAAACAAATCACTCTGCAACAGTTGCTCAAGCCGACTCGACCTCATTAACGACTTCAGCATACAACAAAATTAAAGTCTGGCCAAGAAGTAGAACTAGTGCTTAGCCTATTTCTTATTTGCTTTTTTCACGTGATGAAATTTCCCAATTTTCTATGGCTTCACGTTTTAGGCTAATAATAGCATTGAGACACTTTTGACTACTGGAGCAGCGGAAAGCAGCAGAGCGACGTCAGCCATGCCTACACAGAACAGCGCCATGTGGCGGCAGAAGAGCAACCGCGGCCTGTTCATTGGCATCTTTGGATTTTGCCTTGGACTCTTTGGAATTATGTGCGGCATGTTCTGGGAAGATATATTCAATTGGATCAAGCATAAGGTAAGGCGACGTGATGCGTGCAGCTGCAATCGCTTAACGCCAATCAAAAGCCAAATCAGAGACGGGACGAGACGAGTCGCGTCGAGCAGGTGGCTCAAACAAGCCGCCTCAATTGAGGCACACTTGTTGAGATTCTTTAATTAATGGCAATTGGGATTTGATCTTTGTACAGGAAATGGCGCTCGCGCCCGACACACGTGTCTATGAGAACTGGAAGACGCCACCGATGGAGCTGCACCTGGACATCTATCTGTACAACTGGACCAATCCCGAGGAGTTTGGCAATCTGAGCAGCAAGCCCATACTGCAGCAGCTCGGCCCATATCGCTTCATCGATAAGCCCGACAAGGTCAACATCAGCTGGCATCCGGCAAACAGCTCGGTTACCTATCGCCGGCGCAGCTTCTACTATTTCGATGCGGCCGGCAGTGCGGGCAGTCTGGACGATGAGATCACCACGCTGAATGCAGTGGCTCTGGTAAGTATGCCGACCCCTGCTCATATCAATCTTGTCCAACACTCCATGAACTCTTGCAGTCAGCGGCAGCCACGGCCAAGCAGTGGAACGCCGTGAAGCGGGGCATGGTCGATGTGGGCCTGAAGCTGTATGGCCAGGAGATGTCGGTGACGAAAACGGTCGATGAGATGCTCTTCACTGGCTACAGCGATTCCATGATCGATGTGGCCATGGCCATGCCCATCTTCGGCGATGAGGTGAAGGTGCCCTTCGACAAGTTTGGCTGGTTCTACACGCGCAACGGCAGCGCCGATCTAACGGGCGTCTTCAACGTCTACACTGGCGCCGACAATCTGGCCCAGCTGGGTCAGATGCACTCCTGGAACTATAATACGCACACGGGCTTCTTTGATTCATATTGCGGCATGACCAATGGCTCGGCCGGCGAGTTTCAGCCACAGCAGCTGCAACCCGGCGGCAGTGTTGGCCTCTTCACGCCGGACATGTGCCGCACCCTGCCATTGGACTATGTGGAGACGGTGGAGATCGAGGGGTTGCAGGGCTACAAGTTCTCTGGCGGCGAGCGCTCCGTTGACAATGGTAAGCATGAGCTAAGGGAAACTTGGGTATATATACTCATAGAAGGGCAGCTTATGGGAAAATTTCCACGTACTAATGTCTGTCTGTCTGGTGATTTGCATATCAATTTTAGCCAAATGCCTCGGTTGCCATATAATTTGTCTACACTCTACAATTAAAATTCATAATCTATAGATTTTATGTAATGAATAGTATTCACGTTAAACATGAGTTAAATCCATCTAAATGATCGAGGCAGATGAATCTGCTCACGAATTTCCAACAATTACAAATCTTCTGCTTCAATAGAGCCAGACAGAGATCCATGAAAAAATGATTTTCCAATGAATGAGTAGATAATACAACTCAGATATCAAATAACTTTTACAAGAAGGCTTACGCTGACAATGCTCGACTGATACATGCCCTAAAGCCAGAAAAATTTAGTAGTTTTTGAAAGCATAAATGTTAAATGAATTATATTTATTAAATTTGTTCAATTCATATATATTTCTAGTTCCATATTAAACTCTTCTCTTCCAGGCACACTTTATCCCGAGAATCTTTGCTTCTGTGGCGGAGAATGCGTGCCCTCTGGTGTGATGAACATCAGTTCCTGTCGCTTCGGCTCACCTGTATTCATGTCCTATCCGCATTTCTACAATGCCGATCCGTACTATGTGGAGCAGGTGGAGGGACTGCAGCCGGATAAGGAGCAGCACGAGTTCTACATGGTCGTGGAGCCGAGCACAGGCATTCCGCTCGAGGTGGCGGCGCGTTTTCAGGTCAACATGCTCGTCGAGCCCATCGACGGTATTCAATTGTATACAGACATTCCACGCATTTTCTTTCCACTCATCTGGTTCGAGCAGAAGGTCACAATTACACCCGAGCTGGCCGATCAGCTCAAGCTGTTGCCCGTGCTGCTGTTGGCTGGCCAAATCTTTGCCGGCATCTGCCTGGCTGTCGGTCTCATTCTGCTGCTCTGGATGCCCATGCAGCAGCTGCTCAGCTGGTGCCAGTCGCGTCAGTACGACGTGAAGACGCAGCAGAAGAGCAACGGCCAGTACAAGAGTCGCTCTCAGTTCTCCAGCGCCGAGGAGCTCAAGTCCAAGGCCTCCACGTTGGTGTGCGAGAAAAGTGCTGGAGAATCACCAGACAGCTCACCGTTGCTCGAACGGGATATCAAGCCCGCCGTAGTGATAACCAAGTCACAGACCGGTGACAATGAAGTCACAGCCATAAACAAGGGCACGGACAGCAAACAGGACTAAAGCAATTCAACTGGAACAACTAGCCGTCCTAGTGCTTTAAATAGTTTATAGTCAATTAGTTCAGGAAAAAAAAAATTTAATATATATACACCTTCCGACTCCGGAATACATTCATAGCTGGCAATGCCAAAGATTATATAGCTGGGAGAAGAAATTATTGAAATCATATCTTACGAATACTCTATATACATATAACATATATTAATAAGTTTATGTTGGTATTTGAAATTTTAGGGTAATGAAGATGACCAAAAATTTTAAAATGTTAAAGCTGATTAAATTAAAGATTTTATATGCATATACAAAAATATACATGTGTGATTTTTCATATAATTTGTATTAGCGGTAATAATACAAAAAACAATGAATAAATATCAATTTACTGTATAATAAAATCATATTTCATTGAATTTATAAAATAAAACTGGTTAAAAAAAAAATAATAATAATAATAATAATGGCCATTTGTTGGAGCCATAAAAATAAATATAGGCTATTTGTTAAAGCCAATATTTATTTTTTAATATTAAATACTCAAACTGTAACTGAAATTAAAACTGCTGTGTACATTGCTTATAAAACCTGTTGCTTAACTTTACATTGCTTGCAGAGAGCTTTGATCTATGAATTTAAAACTGTAGCCAAGCTCAATTAAAATTTGTTGCAAAACACTGCTTACAAAATGCACTGCTTTTGCTTGCGAACTGCTCAAGCAAATTTAATTCCAAGCTTCGTACTGCTTGCAAGTGCCACAGTAGCCCCCAAACTGTAGGATTGCCTTCTCAAGCATAAAAATCGTTCGATGGAAATGATATTCAAAAATCGTTTTAATAATTATAATAATTATGGTCTGTTTAATGGGTAACAAAATTTTGATTTTTATTACGTCAACTTCAGCAATCATTAGAATAAACGTATACAAACATACATACATATGCACATAAGACAGATACTTAAGCTATATAGTACAATAAACCTTAGCAAAAACAAACCCTATTTAGGCGTCCGATGTTCTGTTTGAATACTCTAGAGAAAATAACTACAAATTACAAAAGTACAACAATATTTGCAATATCACAAATGACCCAACTTATTGATATAAAATACGATACAAACAAAAATGAGGTATGACAGAGATATTTAAATTATTTCTTTGACATCTTGTAGCCCTCATCATAGCCATAGCTGTCGGCCTCTGTGAAAAGAGAAAATGTTATATTTGTGAGCTGTAGAATATTTTTAGAGTGGGTATTTACGTTCATAGTCCTTCGAGTAGCAGTCAAAGAACTCGCCGAGCAGCGGGCCGGGCGGCAGCTCCCATGTGGCAGTGCCTCCATACTTGGGTGGCAAAGCACTGGCATCAATGTGCGACGTTAACGCCTTCCAGTCCTTGCCATGGAAGAAGATCTGCATTACAGAGAGAAGCAGATAATTTAAAATATATTTAATTGAAATAAATTATATACAAATATATAAATCTGAAACTTACGCGCTTGCGCAGCTTCTCGCGAATGAAGGGCTTGAATATGGCAAAGAGCATATTAAAGATGTACGAATTGTTCACAATGTGAACGGCCTTCAGGCGCATGCATATGCACTCCTGAACGTAATCCAACAGCATGGCGGCAAACGATGGCGTGAACTGTGTTATGTGGCTCAAAGGTAGACCTGCAGCAATAGAGGCATTAAAATGTGTTAATGGGTCGTTAACCAGAGTGCCGTTAACACAATAAACTCGCGCTTTATTACCTTCCATATCAATTATGACAACGGCACCACAGATTTGTGAAAGCGGCTCCACCATGGAGCCCAGCACGGTGAGCTGTATGCCACGAAACAGATCCACAAGCGGCACCTTCGATGGTTTCCATTTTTCTGGAAGAGTAAAGAGAGTTCAGCCCTTATCCACATATATCTGTCTCATGCTATATACTTACTGCCCGCTTCCAGCACGAGTATCCGACGACCATGCTGATCTCGATTGGGCAACAGATTTAAGATCTCGCCCTCAAACACATTCTTCAGCTTCGATGGCACAATGTTCTCACAGGCGATGCCATACTTGGATTTCATATTGTAAAAGTTCTTAAGCTGTCGAAAATGAAAAATAATAATTATAAAACAAATATTTATATATGTATATAATAATTGCAAACTTACTCTCTTCAACGCACTCTCGGGATAATAATGGCAAGGACGCAAAAACATCATCATATACTCATCATCCAGCGGCAAGGTCAGGTGCTTCTCATCTGTGAATCGTGAAGGTAAATAAACTGCAACTACTCCCATGCTTATCTTATCTAATCACTTTGTATCAGCTCTCTCAGCTCCTTGATGGCCTGCTCTTTAATGCCGGGCAGCTCGCGCAGCTCGTCTTGTGCCTTCTGGAGAGCCCAGTCGGGCGCCTGCTCCTTTTCCATGCGTATCCGCGCACTGCCCAGATCAATGTATGGCACATGGTTGTCATCGTAGCTAATGCATTCCGCTTTGCCCATCTTGACTAGTTGGTGCTGCGAACGAGAATAAAAATTAATTTGGTATAGTCGATGATTTTTGTAGCCGTAGAGCTATCGCCGCAACTGGGTTATTTCCGCCCCTTCGTAGCGGTTCAATGCCTTGGCCCAATGCTCGAAAAAACATGACTCAATGCTGATCTTCATTAACAAGCCCACAACGGAAGACGTTGCCGTAAAACAAAAAAATACACACCAACACAGACACCGAAAACAGCGGCCGGGGACGCTAGGGCGGCAAATAGACAACGTTACCAAAACTGGTCACACAACGTCACTAGACACACGTCGCACGTCGAAGAATCACTAAGGTTTTCATTAACACACTAGCAGCAGAGGTGCTTAACATATGCAATGAAGTTTGGCTATCACTGTAGTAGTTGCATGCAAAGGTTTCATTAGCTTTATCTACAGTGCATCTGAAACTGTTCCGAAATAATTTGCTGACATAGGCTATAAATATTAATTCTTAATTCGACTTATTATGCCTATATATGGAAATATAGTATAAATGTTAAAAAAAAAAAAAATATAACAATTTAAAAAGTTATACAAGAATTTAAAGAAATCTTAGATATATTTAAGAGTGAATTATAATACAAGAATTTCTGCAAGAAGTATATATAAAAATTGAGATAAAAATTGTAATTTATATAAGCATGAATACTATTCTTCATTTATTCTTTGTTCAAGAACGAGCTGTTTTATATATATTTTCCATGGACAATCTATAGTCTAGATATATGTATGTATATGTATAATTCTATATATGTACATAGATTTTATGCAATGAAGTCTTATCAAGCCAAGCTCAACTCTCATTTCTGCTGCTTCACTAACTTCCGCATTTAATGTTTGTATAGAGTATTCAAGCTTCGATTTGCATACAAAACATTTTTGCTGACTTTATGTTTCAGTTATTTTGGGCTACACGTAGAAGACTTGGCAACGGCCTGTTTAACAAAATGAAAAAGCGGCTCAAACTTGACAGAGCATGACGTAGCGACTTATGCTCCACACTTGACCCAAAGCAGAGCGCAAAAAAAGGAGAGTAACAGCGAGCAAAACTCAAATATACAGAGAGAGAGAGAGAGAGTATGTGTGTGTTTATGTGTGTGAGTGAGAAGGCGCCCATCAAAGTGATCGAAAAGCCGTTTTACGACTCGGCCAATAGAGCAATTAGTATATCCATTTGAATGCGACATTTTCAAGGTAAAAGTCAAGGCCATAGCACAGCTGAAGCCGCTTCACTATTCAATTTGAACAATGATTGAAATCTATAGAAACCGCTGATATTTGCGTTTGTGGTTAACCACTCAGGCAACGTGTGCAGTTCGTACACTCAAAAAATTGAAAATTTGTGTAATTCAAGTTTTATTTTTTTTTGTATTTCCGTTTGTCTCTCGGTCTCTTACTCTCTCCTTTACTCTCTGTCTTTTCTATTTATAGGCTTTGTATTTGAGTTTACTTTGATGCGAGTTCAACAGTCCATAAATTTATGCGCATAAATTTGACTACAGACCTTCTGCACAACAATGTAAAGCAAAGTAAATTTAAACACTTAAACATAAAAACAGGCTAAAATACACAAAGCTAAGACAGTAATGCAGCGTGCAGCTAATTTGAGTCGCGGATCGTGACAGAAATGTGTTTACCAATTAGCCGCATGCAAAGTGTCACGTAAATTACAGAAGCTTGGCAACAAAATTAAGTTTAATGATGCCCCGCTATGAAAAATCAAATTGATCGTCAATGATATAAAGGGCGAACCGATTTGCAGGTATTAAGCTGTCAAAATATTTTGATTATGATGAGCGCATAAGTGAGTTATTAACAAGAAAGTTTTTGAAATACAGAAATATATATACAATATAGAATGTAGATATACAGCGAAAGCTTGTCATAAGTTGCGTTAAGTAAATCTCGTATATATTCTGATAGATAACAATTTTAATTTGACAGCAAAAATAAACTCCTGTTGAGTCATTGTTCCAGCTGGTTATAAAACCTGTATTTCAATATATTTCGCAATAGATTTTGTTATTTATTGTCTGCTTTCGATCGATGCATAAACAAAGCGTTCCTAAACAAAACATTTCTATGGCATATCAGATAAAAACATTAAATTTTATTCGACTTCCCTGTGCATATCGTTCGATGAAAAGAAGCCGCTGCTAACAGAGCATCAAGGTTTACAAAAAAAAAAAGTTTATGAGACAGTTTTGCACAAAGAAACAGATAACAAAGGTGCTAATAGTTAACAAGGAAGGAGACTATGACTATGAAAGTCAAAGAATATACAATATAACATTGAACATATAAAATTATATATAAAATCACTTATTGAATTCACTTTTTAATTAACACTTTTAGTATTTTATTTCTTTTGTTATGCAGATTAAAGAGTTGTTATTCTTTTTGTATCGAAACTACATTCTTATTAAGTCTGTCGTTAACTTGTTTATCGAATCCTTATAAACAACCCATATAGCCAATCGCCCTTCAGTATACTTTTAAAGACTGAAAGTTCGCTCGCCCTTTGGCATTCAGTCCGATTCGTCCCGCTCAAGGCTGGGCTAAATATATTTTAAGTACAGTTCTCTTTTCGCTGACTGAGATAAACAAATAAATAATAAAACCACTCTCAGTCAAGGTCTACAGGTAATCAGCTTACTTTATTTATACTTAACGACTCAAATTACTCGACATTTCTGTACGTCAATAAAGCGAATAATTTAAGCCTTTGCGACAAATTTATGCAGTATATTCCTGTTGCAATTATCACTGACCTTGCTTGCTATAATTTCTTGTTGAGCTGCAGAGCAAATGAGACGTATCACTGTCGACGGCAACTCGGAAACTGTCTGGACTAAAGTTTGTATAAAACTGCAAGTGAATATAAGCAACTAGCTGACCGGCTGGCTGGCTGGCTGGCTGTCTATCAATATTCGTTTAATCACTCAGTAGTCGCGAGCTAACTGGCAATTATTGGGCATTATTTGTATGCTGATAACTGGTATCGGTTACTCTTTTCTTTAAATATACACACACAGAGATTTATGCGCTCCAGTCCAAAGCAACAAAGCCGAATGCAAAAGTCATAAAAGAAATTAGAGATGTGTGCGAGTGTGTGAAGCTCAAATCCATTGAAACAGGTTGCATTCTTAAGCAAATTTATTTATGGTATTCAAATATAATCCACAATTAAACGAGAACTTGTTTATTTCCACATTGATCGATTTTAATTAAATCAATTAGAAATCCTAAGCTAACTAATAAATAGTTGCAATGGGGAAAACATGGAAAACTCTATCATTTTTATAATTATACCCTGAACACATGGAAAATGCGCAATTAATATGTTTGTTAAAATGCACATGACAGGCAGAATAAGACGTGGTTTAGCTCAGAAAATTTATAATAATAAGAATGACGAGCTAAATCAATAAAGCCTGTTATTATTTATAAACAAATTCGACCTTGAGATTTGAAGCTCTTCTCTGCATGGCTCCCCTAGTAGCGAGACTTTTTCTTAATTAGCATCTGTTAGAGACCTTTTTGAAGTCTTTCTATAGCACAAGCATAATGAATTTATTTAAAATATCCGCTAACTCTTCTTGTATCAATGTTTATTAAATCAGATCTCTTACATTTTTTCCAGCTAGACCTTCCAAATTTTGCATTTAGTCTCATATATATTTCTTCGATTCAAAGTTCGGTTTGCGTATATTGCTATTATGAGGGCGCTTGTATTTTTATAAAATTTAAACATACAATAAAATGCAAACATATAAAGCAAAGCCTAAAAGTTGTATACAAATTAATTTAGTAACACAATATAATGAACATTTTTTTAATTCAAAAAATGTCAATCAGCACCATTCTTTATGCAAATGCACTCATACATTCAAAGTCATTCATTCTTTTTCTGTATATGCTATATATACTTCATTTCGCTTACTCAACCATGATGTTAAGCCCATAAGTTACTCCTAAAGTTACATATAACCACAACCTATTGAAGAGCTAACTTTAGAGACTGCCACTAAAAGTATTTGGCGAATTTTGCAATGTAATAGTCATTCATGTTGGTGTCTTACCAACAACAGTTGGCCTTGAATGCACTAAAAGCAAGCAACAGCTACTATAATTTGTTAACTACACGAACCCAAAAGAAAGGCATGTAAATAAAGGTGCAAATTAAATCATATATGACTACAACAAAATTACATTTTTTTTTTTTTTTTTTTTTTTTTTTTTTTTGGTAAATTGAAATGGCAATGAAGTTGAGTCTGGTTTCATGGACGTACACAACACGCTCACGCTGATTCACGCACCCATCTCTAGTCAACTGTTATTATCGTAGTTTCCAGAGGGTATTTAAATGCGTATACATACACAAATTGTATACTTAATCGGTTGCGTACATAACATACAAATATATATGTCATGTGTGCATAATCTTTAGATTGTAGGTGCAATTGTTCAAGCGATTATCTTCTAAGCATACTAAAGCCCTTAAGCCCCGATAGAAAGTTAAATTCAGTAGTTGCTTGATTAATGCTAGAAAACCCATAAAAACAGAAAATGGCATTTTAATATGTCACGATCTGCTTGAAAATGCCCATAAAATTACGAACTGCACTCAAGTCATAGGGAAAAAGAAAATAAATATACATATATTTAGATATAGATATAGATATAGCGTGACACGCATAAATAAATCCGGTCAATCACTCGAATTGATCAGGCAGCCAACCATTAAATGCAAATTACTGTTTTTGTACACAGATTTTATAGACCTCATAAGAGTAACTGTTTTCTAACCAGCAAAAAAGAAACAAAAAGTGAAAAAGTGAAAAAATATTCACATACACTTGCCAATGACTTGACAATAATAAATAAGCTTCAGCATAGCTTATAGATACATATATACGTAGTCCGAGTTGTAGTCTCTCTCTTCGTTGTGCTTCGTCTGAGAACTGCACGAGCTCCGCCTTTATAATGACTATTCACAAACTGGTAACGAGCTAATTGCAAGAGTCGTGAAAACAATTTCGTAATACTGTAAACTAAAGATTCTGATGACAGCCAAGTAGAATAACCTGTATTGATGGCTGTCTGTATGTATGTAGACACATTAGAAATATAACACACAGATCGTATTTATACTCGTTTAGGAAGTCAAAAGAGTATGTTTTTTTTTTTTGTTTTTTTAAATACAGACTTGAAATTTGTATTATATACTCTTTGGTGGGCTGGTCTTATAGCAATTCTAATGCGCCGTCTAGCGGTGTGGCAGATCAGGAAATACTCTGTCGAGAGACGTGAACTAGATTGGAGAGTTAGAGTTTGGCTTATTCTTGATCTCCTCTATTGATCAAATCATTATACGTTTATGCCTCTTGCATATTTTTGAAGCCAGAGTTCTACTGTATACTTTATTAATTAATTTATTCTTTTCATATTATTCTATTGCATACTTGCTGATCAATCCTATACTAAATACGATTCAACAGGCTCTCAGTAGAAAACAAGTATTATGCAGTCATTGACGCCCGAGTAAACCATTTCTACTTGTTGTCCACTGAACTTAGCACTTCCAGCAATTACTCACAATTACCTTCGGGCAGAAATGACAGTGCTAAATGCAAATTGAGCTCATTATATGTTGGGTTTTATCCCCAGCTGAACTTTGAATGCGCTTGCAGTATCCGATATAACAACAAGATAAAGCGAAATGACAAAATCGTATTTGTTTACATATAAGACTATATAACATAACAATTCATGATGAGCAATATGAATTTGTTATTGTATAGATTATATGAATACTTCATATTTTATTATTCTTCTAATCTTAAGCTATAGAATTCTTTTTATACCCTGAACCCATTGAAAATGGGAAATCAGGGTATAATGGTTTTGTGAAAAAGTATGTAACGGGCAGAAGGAGGCGTGGCAGACCCCACAAAGTATATATATTCTTGATCAGCGTGACGAGCTGAGTCGATATAGCCCTGTCCGTCTGTCCGTCCGTCCGTCCGTCCGTCCGTCCGTCCGTCCGTCCGTCCGTCCGTCCGTATGAGTGCGTCGATCTCAGAAGTTATAAGAGCTAGAGAGCTGAAATTTGGCATGCATACTCGTGTGTACCATACGCAGTACGAGTTTGCTTTATTTTTTCGATAAATCGTCCGATAACTTTTTTATCGAGAATAATCGAAAAATTGATTTTGTTTTTTTAGCCTAATTTGAACATTTTTAGACCTGGAGTCTTCAAATTTGCGTTGTATATAAAGTTAATCGATACAAAGATTTTGTAATTTACAGATTTTGGATACCACGCCCCCTTCTCCCCCAATTTGTAAAAAACGCATTTCAAGTACTAGAGACTTG